ATTTACCTTTTTTTTTTTTCTTTCTCTAATCATATTGTTTCTAGTTTAGGAATGAAACATGCTAGTTTCTGACCCTTACGTCATTGCTTGCAGAAGGCATTTTATAGGTGAGACCCACAGCTATTTTTATGATCCAGATAGAGGCAACAAAGGAGTAGGGAAAAAAAAAAGCTTATCTGGAGTATTAATTACTTAATAATATTTAGTAGCATTTGATGCTTGCAGTCCTTTAAGCTTTAAAAAGAATTGCTCTATTGTTTAGCTCTTGGTGTATAAGGCCTCAATGCTATCTTCAGTTTCAGGCCTCACAATTTACCAAGGATGCTGGAAAATTGGAGGAAGGGTGAGCTGGAATGAAGAGAGATTTAGAAAACTGGTTTGGGGGGTGGGGGGAGTATATTTTTGTTTTGCCTAGAAAGGATAAAGAGAAAAGTGGTGGGAATATGACATATGACCTGTTACAAGGAGGGCAGTGTTCAGCTTTCTCTGTTCTAAGCAATCTGTATTAATTTATGTAGGAAAGAATGCTTAGATTAGAAAATTGCTTTTGTTTAATCCTGCCAGTATCTCGTTAGTACAATTAAGTAATAAAGCATATTAGTTCATTCGCTAGGAGTTTGGACAAACTTTTCCCAGGGCAAATCTGAACGTCCTTGGCTGCAGCCAGCGGAGGGGGTGGGTTTGGTGGCTTCTTGCAGAGTCCCTTGCAGGGCTGAGGTTGCCTCTCATTGTGCAGCTTGTCAGCTTCCAGCTATTTTTCTTCTTTAAGAAAACTTCCTATACGCTTTTTTTTCCTTCCCCCTCCACAGGTGAAAAAGTAGAGCAAAATAAAGCACAGCAGACAGGCAGGACACAGAAACAGACCTTGTTTCATTCTGAAACCTGTGCAAGGTAAATGGCAAAAAAGTATCAGGACAGTTCAGACTGGTTCATGCGCAGTTGAGGGATGTTTGTTAATCTCCCTCTTTCCTAAAACAGCTCCCGAGAAATATTTGTGGATGGTAGCACGTGTATGCTTTGTGGTGTGTGTATGTATATGTACGTACATACTTCTATATGTAAAATATGCGAGGGTGTAGATACAGCGCTAATTGCTTGTTTATGATTCAGGTAGTTCCTTTAAAATCAAGTCTTAAGACATAACGTCAGGTTTCGTCTCTAAAAATGCAGCAAAAAGAGCAAACCCATTCCCCAAAAGCAAAAAGAGCAATCGCGTCTGCTTTTGACAGATGCCACTGGCATCCTATTAAACTTAACTCTGTGAAACTGCCAGGCATAACATCCCTCCTCCTGGAAAAAAATAGAGATGAAAGGCAAAATTATACTTAGAAGTCAGGCATGGAAAAGACTTTGATCTTTGCCATTAATAGGAAGGCTTTTGCGTTTCTCCCAGATTCCCCGTTGTCCTTCCGAGGACTAGAAACTCCAATTGTTTGCTGGAACTTGGCTGGGGGAAATGAGAAGTGCAAATTTATCTTGTTACATAACAGTGGAGCTGGGAAAGTCTGGGATTTGTTTCCACAGAGAGCACTCCCCAGCCTGCAGTTCTGGGATCAGTATGTACAGGAGGAGGTGCTTTCTGTGCAAGATGGCCTAGGCATTTAGGTAGTCTCAGGAAGGGAACTATGAGGAGATAATTGAATTATAAGAATGATAAGAAATAAACCAGCTGGCGGCTCCTTATAAATGGTTTTGAATGGACTGTGCCTTTGGATGCATGTGTGGTGCTGCAGTTTCCAACTGAATGGAGTTTGGCTCTTAAAATCTCTTCTCGGATAGTCAGTAGGGGTTCTGCTGGCTGCAGCTTCCCCTCGGGAGCTGGAGAGCACGGGGAGCGCACGGGGAGCAGGAGCCTGCGCGCACGAGGAACGAGCGGGCACGGAGCAGACCTTTCAGCTGCTGGGGCCGGCCAGGATTGACACGCAGGCGCTTTTCCCAATTTAGCAAGTCTGGCTGCAGTATTTTTAATCTGACACTACTAAACTAAATTTACTGTGGTGTTAAATCATATTGTTGAAATGTGAATTGCACAAAAGTGCTAAGGTTTCCGGCTGTGTGTTCAGCTGCGGTGCTGCTTAATTGACCCCTTGTCACCCCCCTGTCCCGCCTTTTGTGGCCACTTTGTGGGACAGAGCCAGCAGGTGACTGAGCAGGGCTAAAGTGTGGGTGACCGGTCAGAAAAGGGCACCAGCTGCATGGAATGAGCCCACTTGTCATGCGGGTTCCTGTGCCAGCACCACAGGGAGCAGCGCCAGGCTGGAAGCATCCGGGAGTGGAAGGGAAGGATTCCCGCTGCAGCCAGAGAAGTGATTCATCGCACACCGAACACAACATGCAGCTTCCTGGCATGGAAGCACATTTTGTGTTCAGTTTTCCATGTGATTTCAAGGCACTTTAACAGAAGGGAACCTCCCTGTCCTCCCCAGAGGGGGCAGGTTGTATTATCCCTTGTTTCACGGATAGAAGGTGGCAGAGCAGAGAAGAGATGTGCAGGGAAGGGGCGCGGATGGCAGGGCAGGAGCAGCCCCTGGCAGCGCAGGCCGGGCTGCGGTCGGCACCCCAGCGCTGCCTTGGCTCCTGCGGGAGCCCATCCAGGCGGGACAGGGACTCGGCTGCTCATTTTCCCCTGTGTGAACCAAGCACTGCCGGTGACTCTGGGTGCTGCTGAGCCAGCGCCACGGTCCCGATGCCTTTGTTCGAAAACAGGAGCGTATCTTGTACCGCGCTGGAAAGCTCTGCTGAAAGGTTTAATTGCTGGGGCTGAGAACCTCCAGTGTAATTACTGAGGCTTTTTGGATGCTTTTCACTTGCTTTTTCCCTAAGCAGACCCAGCTCTTAGTCCCTGCAGAGGCAAAGCAAAGAGCCCGAGGGAGAGGGGCGAGAAGGTGGTAAATGTTAATGGGGCTGTGCGCGGGGGCAGTGGCGGCGCTCCCCGGCGGCCCCGGGCAGGAAAGGGCAGCAGGATTTCGCCCTAGGGGCGGTGCGCGCACCCCCCCCGCCCGAAGCGGCTGCCCGGGTGCTCCCGGCGGGCG